AACAAAAAACTGATCTCTGCCAGGCACAGTGGCTCATGCCTGTAATCCTAGCACTTTGGGAGGCTGAGGCGGGCTGAGGCAGGAGAATCGCTTGATCCTGGGAGGTAGAGGTTACGGTGAGCCAAGATCGCACCCCATTGCACTCCAGCCTGGGCAACAGAGTGAGACTCTGTCTCAAAAAAAAAGGGAAAACAGGCCAGGCGCGGTGGCTCACGCCTGTAATCCCAGCACTTTGGGAGGCCGAGGCGGGCGGATCACGAGGTCAGGAGATTGAGACCATCCTGGCTAACACGGTGAAACCCCGTCTCTACTAAAAATACAAAAAAATTAGCTGGGCATGGTGGCGGGCGCCTGTAGTCCCAGCTACTGGGAGGCTGAGGCAGGAGACTGGCGTGAACCCGGGAGGCGGAGCTTGCAGTGAGCCGAGATCACGCCACTGCACTCCAGCCTGGGCGACAAAGCGAGACTCCGTCTCAAAAAAAACCGAAAAACAAAAACAAAAACAAAAAAACAGCAACAAAAAAAAACCTGATTTCATGCGGGCAAGATTCAAATGTCAACTGAAGTTTGAGATTTGGAGGCCCTGATTCATTAAACCCATAGTTACCTATTGGACCTGCCATGAGTTGAATGCATGCGTACAGTGTGGTGGGAAGGGTCCGTGAGCCCTGAGAGGCCAGAGTTTGAGAGTCTGGTGGTGCTTCTAGTCATAACAGCCACATAATAGGAAATAAAAGGAATAGTATTTACCTACGAGGTACCAGGCCTGTGATAATGCTTTATGTTCACTGACTTACCAAATAACTTACAAACTATACAAACTTTATTATCAGGAACTGTTCGTTATATTTAATAACTCGGGCAAAATATTCACATACTCTTACTAGTACCAATAGTCATTACCACGATTGATCTTTTAGGCTGTCTTTGACATACAGAAATGGACAGTGTCGTACGGTTCCACCTAATAAGTAGCACTTACCTCTCTTCCACCTCAATCTTACTTCCCTACATTTCTGTTTGCCTCTTCTTTCTCACTTAGTTTCGAATCAGTTACACTTTGTCAATTTGTAAGCTGTCTTAAATCCTTTTAGGAGCAGCATAGAAATAGAAAAATACAGTGTGCCCTACGCCACAACCAGATATAACCACTATGGACATTTTTGTGTGTTGCTTTGCAGTATTTTTCTCTGCATATTTATGCACATATTGAAGCCAGGTTGAAGACAGCCTGTAATTATGTCAGCCCTGTGTTCTGTTCCGTTAGCATTTCTCCATTTAAACCTGACTCTTTGAAGTCTAGTGCTGTCTCACGACTATGTAACACATTATTTGACTTTTCCGGAATTCTGGCTGTCTCTAAGGGGACAGGTTTCCTGTCACCGAGCCTGACTGAACAATTCTGAGATTATCAACACTGCCATAGGGCCCCGAAGAAGCGTCTAATGAATGCAACAGTTCAAAGCGGTTTTGTTCAGGTGTTATTTTTGGAGACACTTTCTCTGGCTTTTATGATGCAATCCTCTTTGTGCCCCTTTCTTGCAGCAGCTGCGGCCAGGAAAAAAGCACTAAGTGGGCTTGCTTACAGGTCCCCAGGGGTGGGTACCCTGGGCAGGCCAGCCCAGAAGTCAGTTGCCTCCTCTCCAGGCCCTGCCTGGACAGCTGAGAGTCAAGCAGACAGTTATTCGCCATCCCTACCTCCGTTCTGTCTTCAGTAACTGGCAGCTTCATCCTGCCGGGGAGTTTGGAATGAGCTAGGACTTTCCCATCAGTCTGAACTCCTGGGTTTTCCCAGGCCTGGTGACTCAGAGGGTAAGGCACCGAGCCGAGGAAGAGAAAGGAGAACCTGGACTCCTGGGTGCTTTTGTCTCAGCACACAATCACCTCCCAGGAAGGTTGTCATCCACTCACTCCTGTGGAATCTCTCTGCCACTTTGTTGTAAAGAAAGTCAGCCCCAATGAAGGGTAAAAAGAAGTGCCAGGGGGCCGTGGGGACAAGACATATACTGGTAGAAAGGGCACTGGGGCAGGGTCTGGACAGCTGAGAATGTGTCTAGCACCGGGATGAAAAGCAGTAGTTCACAGGGCTGCTTTGTTTGGCCTACTCAGTATTTTTTTAATGCTAAATTTCACATAAAGACCTGTATATCTGGCTTCCCCAGAAAAGTCAAGATCTGACAGCATCTGACCATATCTTCTCATGCAATATCTGAGGCTGGGTAGCAGCCGGCCCCGGACGGGCTGTTTCCTCTCCAGATTAACACAGAGCCCACCCACTTGTGAAATCTCACCTCATAGGACGATAGGCACAAAAATATACTGAAATGAGTTGAAACAATGGTAATACTTTTTTGATGAAAGTATTTTTTTTTTTATTTAATTTTTTTGAGACAGATTCTTGTTCTGTCACCCAGGCTGGATTGCAGTTAGCGCTCACTGCAACTTCCGCCTCCCGGGTTCAAGTGATTCTCGTGACTCAGCCTCTTGAGCAGCTGGGATTTTTAAAATACTTTTAGCAGAGACAGGGTTTTGCCATGTTGGTAGACGGGTTTCCAGCTCCTGGGTTCAAGTGATCTGCCCGCCTCGACCTCCCAAAGTGTTGGGATTACAGGCGTGAGCCACCGCACCCAGTCTCGATGAAAGTATTTTAGATGTTTGTGTTTACACGTAAGGCTCTATGTTTGAAGTACTAAATAGTGATAGTATTTTGTATCTCAGATGGAATAACAATAGGAAAATGTTCTTCAGCAAATTGTATTCCCCCAAAGGGAGAGATTATAGAGTGATGAACACAGACACTCCATCTACCTTTCCTCCACACTTTGTAAAAAAAATTATAGAAATTACCATCCCACACTAGAATCAGATACCATCCCTGATCTGCTACCAAGATCTACACACATTAAGAGAACAATATTCTGGATTGAACCTGTTTTGCCTTTTTAATTGGAACATAAAAGGGATACCTTTTTCTCTTTCCAAGTTTTTGAAATTTTGGTCTCCCTCCTACATTCACTCCTTGTTGAAAGTAATGGAAAGGCAATTAGGTCTGTGTCCTACATGAAAGCCCACAGTCAGGAGGGGAGTCTCAGTGAGGTGATTGTCCGGTTAAGACCTGTTCCTGGCCGGGCGCGGTGGCTCAAGCCTGTAATCCCAGCACTTTGGGAGGCCGAGACAGGTGGATCACGAGGTCAGGAGATCGAGACCATCCTGGCTAACCCGGTGAAACCCCGTCTCTACTAAAAAATACAAAAAAAAAAAAAAAAAAAAAAAAAAAAAAAAACTAGCCGGGCGAGGTGGCGGGCGCCTGTAGTCCCAGCTACTCCGGAGGCTGAGGCAGGAGAATGGCGTGAACCTGGGAGGCGGAGCTTGCAGTGAGCTGAGATCCGGCCACTGCACTCCAGCCTGGGCGACAGAGCGAGACTCCGTCTCAAAAAAAAAAAAAAAAGACCTGTTCCTGTGAACCTCCAAGCACCGGGCAGAGCAGGACACGAACTAAGAGCCAGGCTTTGCCGAATCCGGGTCAAGTTCACCGAGAGCAGTGTGTGCAGCACCCTTCCTCCTCTGCACCCTGGCAATAGAGGCCTTTCTCACTGAAAACCCAAGTGGTGTCTGCAGTCCGCCTTGCCCAGGTCTGGAGGCAGAGCTGAGCTTGGTGAACAGGTGCCAGGGGATTCCTGTCGTCACTGGACTCTGCTTTAGAAGCTGCTTATTGCAAAGGTACTGCTTGATCACGGTCTGAGAGCTGGATTTGAAGGCCAACACCCGCTAGCAAAACCATCATCCCTCTAATAACAGCAACCCAAGCCGATTTGATTTCTCCAGTGAAGGTTCCAGATGAGTCTAATCAAGGCTTCCCACCCATCTTCTCCCAACACCAGAGGTTCCCTGTGTAAACGATCATGGTTAACTCGCACTGAATACTATTTATATGCCAAGTACCATTCCACATTCTTTACATATTTTAGCTCATTTTACTCTAACAGGGACCATTATTCCCAGTTTGCATATGAGCAAACGGAGCCAGGGAAAGCAAGGGCAGAACAGGGAACTGATTTCCCGGAGTTTGGGCCCAGAGTCAGTGTGCTTAACCACGGCCAACACCAGCCCCAGAGAGCTCCAGGCTCTGTGGTTTCTGGAAGTTGTGCTCCCGACTCCTTCCCCTTGCACAGTGGAGAGAACTCGGTGTTGGAATGAAACCAGCTGATTCCAATAGGGCGCTTCGGCTGTTGTGAGGAGCTGGGCAACGAGTAAGCTCGCTAAGCCTCACTTTGCTCCACTATAAAACCAGGAGAGTGTAGCAGAGGAGAGGGTCTGGGTTTCAGAACAAGCCGCGGGTTTTCTTCCTGCTTAGCAAATCCTGGGTAATTGTATCATGTCCCCTAACCCCTTAAACCTCAGCTAGAAAGGGAGCCACTCTAAGCCCCAGGGAAGGCTTTCGTGTGCACATTGGAGACAGCCCCTCCCAGCAGTGCCCGGCACAGAACTGGGGCAAGCTGTTGCGATAAGCACGGGGGTGCACTCTCCCTGGGACACATCCTATCTCACAGCGGTTTGGAGAACTGTTGTATACACACGCAGGTGACACAAGGCAGAGCAGGATGTCTGCAGCAGGCTTAGGACCGAGCGGTGATAACAGCCCCCTTCCCTTTCCTCAGCCTGACGGTCCCAGCCTTTCCCATTGCGAACCTGGAGCCCAGACTCCCAAGGCAGAGAGCTCCCTACAGGCTGATAAAGCTGAACAATCCAGGCTTGGTTTCTGACAGCTTTATCCCTGACTTTCCAACTGGTTTTTATGTGTGTCTTCACATCTCTGACCTCCTCAGCCTCACAGGAACTAGACTAGGAGGTTCAAGTTCTTGAGGAGAAGGCAGGAGCGGGGGAGCTTCGCTAGCCCGCACTTGCGGGAATCTCGTGCGGACCGAGTCGGGGCGGGAGAGGGCGCGCACCAGCCAGGCTAGGGCGCACGGGGCGCCAAGGGGCGCAGGGCCGTTCGGGGCCGTTCGGCCCCTTTCGCGCGGCGGGGCCAGTCGGAGCTTTTCTCTCGGCAGCTTGGTCGGCCGCCCGTCTTCTCCGCGCAGCGGGCGAAGTCTCGATGGGCTCATTAAGGCGGCAGGTAGGCAGTGCCCCGGCGGCGGCGGCAGGCGGTCCTGGAATGTGCGAGGGGCGTGATGACAGCGGCCGCAGGCCTCTTTGCGCAACACCTTCGCCATATATACCCGGGGCGCTGCGCTCCACCTGGCCGCCGCCTCCAGCCCAGCACCTGCGGAGGGAGCGCTGGTGAGTACCGCCGCCGGGGCAGGGGCGCTTCCTGGCTCTTTCAAGGACTTTGATTCACTTAATTCTTGTAAATACCCCTCGATGCTGACTTCAAGGAACTTGGCTGGCTTTGGGCCACAGAAGTGAAAAAAAAACAAAGCTTTTCACAATGTTCAAGCTGTTTTCTTCTTAATGTCACGGTTACTGATTTTATTACAGCTCTTACTGCTACACTCTTACTATTGACAGTGTTATTAATCAACCACACTTGCGGATTCTAAAATGATCACTGTTTTGAGAGTCGTGGTTTGGAAGAGAAAGGCCCAGGGGATAGAAGGCTCCACCCAGGAATCAGGATGGCTAGGCTCTTTGTGGCTGGGTCACCAACTAGCTATGTGACTTAACGCTAGTCCCTGTGAGCCCCTGGGCTGCCGTCTTCCACCCTTTATAAGAAGGGGAATGCGACAGCTCAGGAACATGAAAATTCTAGGTTTGTGGTGGCTGCCTGGTGATGCGACACTGCCCCCCACCCAAGTGTGACTTCCACGTGCTACAGTGCTTGTTTACAGTTATTTAGGGTACCTAGGAGACAGCCTTAGTTTGTTTCTATTAGGCCCGTGGCCATCAGCAAAGGGTCCGTCCTTCAGCTGTCTTGGGGAGCAAAGCCCACAATTTCTGTTTTCCAAGCCAGAAATGGGTGAGCAGGCTGGGGAGATGACTTACAAGGAGATGTGCACAGAAGTGGTTGGCTTCGGGGACTGCGCATCCTCAGGCCAGAAAGTAGGGGGCTGCATGGCATGGAGGTAGTTCACGTTCTGTGGAGCGATGCCTGCCACGGGTGGCTCGCACTGCGCTGAGGAGAGTTGGAATCTCGTTTTCTTTGAGGAGGTCCCTTTCTCAAACATGTTAATTTCATGGAAGCAGCTTATGGATTTCATCACTCCGAGTCCGCTCTTCCTGTTCAGGTGCCCCAGGGGGTTTATGTGTTAGCCCTGATGGCTCTGGGCCTTGTCCTTCTTTCCTTTTTCCTTCTTCCCTTGTGTGCTGGCAGTTCTTTAACTTGTCCTGGGTTGGGTATTCTTGGAAAACTGTGCCTGTGGGAGTGGCCATTGTTTCAGATTGTTTAAAAAAAAATGAAAATAAAAAAGACTGCTTCTTTTGTCCCATGCCAGCTGATCATGATCTTCTCTGCTTTTGTAATTTGGGAAATGGGTGATAAGAAGGGCGTGCTTTGTAAAAGGATTGGATACTAAACAAATTGCCCCATCCAAAACTCTCCCAGATTGTTCAACCGTCTCACTGAAGCAAGTGCCCTGTGGTATGAAGATGGGCTTCTGATTGTTGCTGTTAGACACAAAGGGGACACAAAAATAGCCCGAATTCAATGTAATGAGGAAAACAGCCTCTCAGAATCAGAGTGCTTTGGAATAAACTGGGCTTTAATAACCAGTTTCAGGCATCTTCCATCCCTCCATCCTCACCCACACCCCCACTTCCATTCTGGGGACAGCAGGGAGCAATCAGGACATCCAAGGGAATTTATTCATCTCAGTGAATTTTAAAAATGCAAAGGTACAAAAAGAGGGCTATAAAAAGATTGTGGTATGTTTAAGATGTTTATATTTACAAATTTAACTGCTTTAACCTCCCCCCCAATACAATGCAGCGTAACTGATATAGTTACAAGTTATTTACAGGATTTATTTTAAGATGCCAAAAATACAAATTGATAGTGCATGGTGAGGGTGAGGTTTGGTGATATGGCCGAAGTTTAAAGTGATAGAATAAATGTCTTTAAACTTTTATTAGTGTGTGACATCAATAATGTAAACTGAAGTTATCTAGCCACGTGAGGCCCAGGCCAATTGCTTCTTTGACTCCTCTCATCACTACCACCACTGTGTCCTTGAAGAGATTATTATTAGCAGTAATGTAGGGACAGGGTCTCGCTATGTTGTCCAAGCTGGTTGCAAACTCACAGGTTCAAGGGACTCTCCCACTTTGGCCTACCAAAGTACTGGGATTACAAGTGTGAGCCACCATCCTTAGCCTATAGGGGTGATTATTGTTCCTTGTGATGGCTGTAAGGGAAGCAGAGAAAAAAGAGCCATCACCCTCTTGGGAATGTTTGAAGCACGGAGTCATTCTTTCAAAGTACAAGAAAGTTTTCCTGGGCATCCTGAGAACATTGGCCTGCATAAGGTTGAACTTATCTCTGCAGTGTTTGGTGCCTATGTGATTTGAAGCAATTACCTTCTCTGCGGCTCAGGTTTTCCCTCTTTAGAACGAGGATACTGTTCATTCTAAAGGAGACTCTAGTTTACATAGATACATGAAATGCTGTGAGTAAATTTGTGCACCAATTTGCAAGTGCCAGGCACAAAGTCCTTAATAAACACTGCTGGCTACCATGTGCCTGGCACTGTCCTATGTGCTGTGGATACAGTGGCTGTACTCTACTCCCTGTGCTGGTGAAGGCCACCATCTGGTGGGAGACTGTGTGTCCATGTCCTGGTTCCTCACAGGACCACTGCCCTGGGCTTCCTCTTCTCCCCATTTCTTCAGATGGCCTTGACTGCTGCTCTGAATACAAGGGGCCCCGGAACAGGCCTTGGTTGGAGAAGCCCAAACAATGTGAATGTAGGGGTTGGGTGATTGCCAGGTGCCCTACATTCCCCTGCTTCCCAAGTCTGAGACGAGTCAAGAAAGTTCCTCTCCTGGGTCTTTGAGAAAGTATAAGAGCTCTTTCTGGCAGTGGGTGCCCATGTGGGACAGGAAGTGGAGCCAAGAGGGTAAGGCACACAGGCAGCTCAGTTATAGAGGCCAGTGTGGGCAGCAGGGGAGCCCCTCCCTGGGCTTTAGTAAAAATCTTCCAAATGATGACTTCTCCCTTCCTCTGCTGCTTCTGGTAGGTGGCAAGAATGTGCTGGAGTGAGGCCTTGGGAAGGCTGGGAGAAAACAAGGCAGTGGTTACGCCAGGTCTATGAGGGTAGGAGAAAGGCTTCAGAGGGGCTCAGAGCTCCAGGGTACATTCTCTTTCTGCACCATGTAATACCCGCCCCCGTCCCGCCCTCTTCCCCGCACCCCCAACCACATGCTCCTGCTCAGCCATTGCAACATTCTTGGGTGGGCATTTCCAGCATCTGAATGACCACGTGGGAGTGACCTGTAGACATGCCAATCTAGCTAGCTATCCGAAAACACTCAGAGCCCTCAATGTGCCTAGACCTAAGGTCCTTGGGTGCCCTGGTGCTTTGAGGGCTGGAGAATTCCTCCTCCCACCTTTGCCCCTCGCTGTGAGATCTATGGAAAAGCTTCTGGCTTTGGAGCCAGCAGTCTTGGGTTCATATCCTGACACCAGCTCCAGGTAGCTGGGGGCAAGCTTCTTTGTTTCTCTGTGCCTCAGTTTCTTTGTCTGTACACTGAGAAGAAAAACTCCTTCCTTATTAGATTTAATGAGGTCACAAACTGCATAGGACACTCCCCTGCCACAAAACAAATGTTAGCATCTTTCTCCCATGAAGGCTTTGGGTTCATTTATTCAAATATTGACTGAAATTCACTACCGTGCTGAACATTGGAGATGAAGAGCTTATGGTGTAGGGTACACACAGTGCACCCACAATGCATTTCCACATAATAAACACTCTTGTTTATTGTTCGTGACACAGTGCATTTCCACATTGTGTCATGAAGAATAAACAAGAGTTCTGAGTGTTTATTCTGCCAGGAACCATGCTGTAGCCTCACCCACACTTATTAACCAATTAGTCCTCATAACAGCTCAGTAAGCGAGATGGTATTGTCCCCATTTTTGAAATGATGAAACTGAAGCTCAGAGTGGCTCAGGGTTGCATGTAGTCAGAGGCAGGCCTCTGCAGAACCAGCACCCCCTCCATTGTGATTCCCTCTCTCCAGGTATGACTGAGCCATCTTACCTTTGTGGGTTTAGGGGTTGAGTTGCATCGTTTAAAAGAATTTGAAAATTTTAGAAGAAAATTTAAAAAATCACCCACAGTCTCACCACCCACTTTAACCCCAGAGAACATTTCTGGATCTTGTCTGCCTTGTTGAGATGATGCTGTGAATGGGAAAAAGAAGTGCTTTAGATTCACGGTTTATCTAAAGCATTTTCCTATGGTTTTACTGATGCAGTATAACCTTTTTAATAGCATACTCTTACAATGTATGGACATACTATAGTTAGAAGGAGTAATTTCTCTTTTTTTTATTTTATTTTTTAACACTGTAAATGATAAAGCAGCAAATATCTTTCTGGTCTACATCCCATTCATTCTGTCATAAATACGCCCGGCAGAGCTTAAGACCTTGAAGATGAAGTAATGAACAAGACAAAGTCTCCTTTTTGGTAGGTTTTGCAGTCTGGTAAGCAGGAAATAGGTTGAAGAGGAAAGGGGTCAGGTGGACTCACGCTCTAGAAAGCCCTCTTGGAAGAGGTGATCAGTGCAGATTAGGTATTTCTGAGAGCAAATATTCCTAGCTTCCTGATTCCTAGAGTGAAATGACTGGGTCACAGATGTGTGATGAACGTAAGACACTTTGGACAGTTTGCTAACTTTTCCGGAGCTTCTAGCAGTGTTCAACTCACAACATCTTTTCCAGCACAGCATAATAAACTTAAATTCTTTTTGCTACTTTGATAGTTGTCACTGTTTTAGTTTGAATATATTGGATTGCTTCCTTTTTTTTGTTTTGAGATGGAGTTTCACACTTCTTGCCCAGGCTGGGTTGCAATGGTGTGATCTCGGCTCACTGCAACCTCTGCCTCCCAGATTCAAGTGATTCTCCTGCCTCAGCCTCCTGAGTAGCTGGGATTACAGGCATGCGCCACCACGCCTGGCTAATTTTGTATCTTTAGTAGAGACGGGGTTCCACCATGTTGTCCAGGCTGATCTCGAACTCCTGACCTCAGATGATTCACCCGCCTCGGCCTCCCAAAGTGCTGGGATTACAGGCGTGAGCCACTGCACCCATCTTGGATTGCTTCTTTTTTAATGGGCATTTTAGCCATTTGTTCCTTTTCTGTGAATTGCCTTTTTCCAGTCCTTTGGACTGCTTTGTCTAATGGACAAGGACTAATTGTCTAGTGTCAAAGAAAAAGGACTGCAAGGACTGGAATGTGAGGTGTGTCAAGGGCCTTGTAACTGCGAAAGGCTTTGTGAAGAAAATGGATTGTAGGAAGGTCTTTTATGAAGGCTGAAAAGAATGTGGTTCTAACAAAGGATGATTAATCCAGACAACATGACATAGTAATAATTGCTGCTATTTATTGGATGCCTCCTCAATGCCAGTCACTTTCTAGACTTTTAATTTCACCATTAGTCTCATAACCCTGCAAGAACTGTTCCATTTTATAGATGGATAAACTGGCAGTTTATGCTCAGAGGCATAAAGGGACTTGCCTAAATACACACCCACTAATAGGCGGCACTGCTGGATTTTAAAACCAGGTCCATCACACTTTTCACAGAAGCCCTGGCTGGTAGGTAAAACACGCAGATGGTATACAAACACTTGCATATATATATATATATATATATATATATATATATATATATATATTTTTTTTTTTTTTTTTTTTTTTTTTTTTTTTTTAGACAGAGACTCGCTCTGTATCCCCCATGCTGGAGCACAGTGGCATGATCTCAGTTCACTACAACCTCTACCTCCCAGGTTCAAGCAATTCTCATGCCTCAGCCTCCTAAGTAGCTGGGATTACAGGCACCCACCCCCTGCTAATTTTTGTCTTTTTAGTAGAGACAGGGTTTTGACATGTTGCCCAGGCTGGTCTCAAACTTCTGGTCTCAAACCCACCCACCTTGGCCTCCTAACGTGCTGGGGTTACAGGCCTGAGCCACCTCGCCTGGCCCCTGCATATATATTCACATACACACTAAGTTGTATAAATCTGTTATATTTCACCGGACAAGGTTTTGCATAGATCTGCAGTGCACTTGTCTTGATATAAGAAGTAGATGGAGTGCCATTGAAGGGTTGTGAGGATTTGGTATGCTATGAGACAACAAAGATGAATGGGCTTGCACCCTGCCTTTTTTTTTTTTTTTTTTTTTTTGAGATGGAGTTTCACTCCTGTCACCCAGGCAGGAGTGCAATGGCGCAATCTCGGCTCACCGCAACCTCTGCCTCCCAGGCCTCCCAGGTTCAAGCGATTCTCCTGTCTCAGCCTCCCGAGTAGCTGGGACTACAGGCATGCGCCACCACGCTGGCTAATTTTTGTATTTTTAGTTGCCATGTTGGCAAGGTTGGTCTCGAACTCCTGACCTTAGGTGATCCACCTGTCTCAGCCTCCCAAAGTGCTGGGATTACAGGCATGAGCCACGGCACCCGTTGCTCCCTGCTTTTGACTGAAGGAGAGAGTCAAGACAAAAACAAGTTTAGGAGATTAAAGGTGGTGCGTGCAGCTAACTCAACATTGTAAGAAGTAGTTTGCTTTAGTGACCGGGTGAGTGAGGCGGAACCACAGAGGACTGAAATATGGCGCTTAAGATGCCACACTTAGGGGGCATAAGTATGAAATCCTTCCCTTCCTTTTGCTGCCGCCTCCCCCCGAACCCCCCACCCAGTAGACGCTTTGCAACTGATGATTCTTCCTCTTATAGCATCTCGGTGCGCCTCCTTTCCATGACTGCTGCTTTAAACTGTTTTCTCATCCACAGACCATGGCTCCCTGGCCTGAATTGGGAGATGCCCAGCCCAACCCCAGTAAGTACCTCGAAGGGGCTACAAGTCAGCAACCCATCACCCCTGATAAAAGCAAAGAGACCAACAAAAGTAAGTGTCGCTCGTTTGTCTGCAGATCGGCCTCTTGTGAGGGGTCTGCAGGAGACCCAGGTCTGATTCCTCATGACCCCTTTTGCTTGTTTCAGCAGATAACACTGAGGTACCTGTAACCAAGTTTGAACTTCTGCCGACCTACTCCACGGCTACACTGATAGAGGAGCCCACTGAGGTGGACGACCCCTGGAACCTACCCACGCTTCAGGACTCGGGGATCAAGTGGTCAGGTAAGAGTAAAGCCAGCTGAGACATTCAGGAAGGAAACAGGAAACTTCCTGTGGTTCACAGTGTCACCATCCTCGTGTCCCTCCCCCCTTTTCATTGTTCTGATGCCCTTGAAGCAGGGGTCCTGGCTAGGGATGTCACCCTCCCGTCTTTTTTTTTTTTTTTTTTTTGAGACAGAGTCTTGCTCTGTCGCCCAGGCTGGAGTGCAATGGTGCGATATTGGCTCAGTGCAACCTCTGCCTCGTGGGTTCAAGCAATTATCCTGCCTCAGCCTCCCGAGTAGCTGAGATTACAGGCTAATTTTTGTATTTTTAATAGAGATGGGAGTTCACCGTGTTGGCCAGGCTGGACTTGAACTTCTAACCTTGTGATCCATCCGCCTTGGCCTCCCAAAGTGCTGAGATTACAGGCATGAGCCACGGTGTCTGGCCACCCTCCCATCTTTGAGGTTGAGTCAAAGCATGTTGGAGCAATTGGGGGTCATTCATTCAACAAATGTGCCCGGCACTGTGGTTGTAGCAAAGATGGACATTGTCTGGCTCCTTATAATTCGCTGTGGGAGAACAGTTTCCAGGTACTGGTTTGGAGATGCTGTGGATACAGTGATAAACAGAAAAGGCCCCTCTTCTCAGAGAGATTTCAGAGGGGTCTCCTCACCCAAATATGGGCATTAGGGAAGGTTTCTAGAAAAACAAAATATGCAGCCAGACAGCTGGTGCAAACAATCACTGTTTCATTTCCAAGTGTATGTAGGGCAGAAGGTCTGCCAGTGAACTAGACAGCAAGGAGGAAAAAGGAGATTGGGGTGTGGGGTGGGGAGGAGAGGTAGGAAGGAAAGAGCTGGGAGGGGTAAGATGGGAACCATTTTAAAAGCCAGTGGAGTAAACAGTAGTTAACGATGAACGATGTAGCATCCCAGGATGTATGATGCCCCAAGCCCCCCATAAATTGAGGCTGATTGCTGCTGTGCAGCTGCATTCTGGAAAATACTCTGCTGTTCGGAACGTGACAGCCATTATCTCCGACCCTGCACTTAGCAGGTGGCGAGTGCTGTTAACTGCCTCACTCAGCGACACTGTGGCTCAGCTGAGCATGGAGCCTGGTTTTTCTGTCACAGACCACATTGAACCCCTCCTCCCAAATGCAAATCCTTTAGAGGCACTTTACCAGGGGTTTCAGCTAAATGGACCACAGTGGTAACTGCTTTGAAAGCTACAGCGATGGCTGCGTCCCATCTGTAAGCCTCGCTAGACATAAGAACTTACGGCTGCCAGGCTGGGAAGGGAGGGCAGGCGGGGGGAGCTCTGAGCTCATTGCCGAACTTTTAGTGTTTCCAACACTAAAAGTTTCATGCCTTTCTCTCTCTCCCGCCACCCCACCCCGCTGCAGAGAGAGACGCCAAAGGGAAGATTCTCTGTGTCTTCCAAGGGATTGGGAGATTGATTTTACTTCTTGGATTTCTCTACTTTTTTGTGTGCTCCCTGGATGTTCTTAGTAGCGCCTTCCAGCTGGTTGGAGGTAAGAATGAAAGACCGAAAGGTCTGGGGGCGAGGGGCGTTATCATGAAATGTGGTTCCGAGAATAAAACTCAGCAAGCCCTCTCCAGCTGCAGCCTCCTCGAGTGTTTTAGGACTGGAACCCACCTCAGATCATTTATGAAGTCTATGCTTTCTGTTACAGAAGAGAAAACCGAGGCCTACACAAAGGGCTATGACTTGGCCCAGGTGGCTTAGGCCAGGAACTGGGGCTAGAGACTATTCCAAGCTATCAGCCAGTTGAGTTTGTCCACAAACCCCAGGCAGGAAGTTGTTTGACATAAAAACTTAGCCAAGGAATTCCTATATCCTCCCCACCAGAGATAATTCTGGAATGAGAAAGAGCGCCCTTTCAAAGGTGGGCCCTTGCTGGGGGAAGGACAGAGCCCCTTCTCTGGGCTGGAGGAATCTGCATCCATTGTAGTTACCTACACAGCCCTCAGGGCTGCGTGTGCCCATGCAGTGTGAGAACCCGGAAGTGAAGTCACCATGTGCTTGGTTACCTTGGTACCTCAATGGTGACATCAGAAACAAACAGGCAGCACTCTGAGTGTCTACTAGGTGCAGGCATTTTTGGGGGCCCTCTATCAAACATTCTTTCCCAAAGCTCTCCCATTTACGGAGATATCATGAACCAGACCTGAGACTCACAGCCTGTAATTAGCAGAGTAAGATTCAGTCTCAGATCTGGGTGTCACAAAGGACCATGGATTTCTGCAACCCTTGGTGCCTCTCTTGGGAACCCATCTGTGTGGCTTGGGAGAGTTGGGGAGGTAGGCATCCATGGGAGAACATGAGGGGCAAAAACTTCTTTTTTTTTTTTTTTTTTTTGAGACGGAGTCTCGCTCTGTCGCCCAGGCTGGAGTGCAGTGGCCGGATCTCAGCTCACTGCAAGCTCCGCCTCCCGGGTTCACGCCATTCTCCTGCCTCAGCCTCCCAAGTAGCTGGGACTACAGGCGCCCGCCACCTTGCCCGGCTAGTTTTTTGTATTTTTTAGTAGAGACGGGGTTTCACCGTGTTAGCCAGGATAGTCTCGATCTCCTGACCTCGTGATCCACCCGTCTCGGCCTCCCAAAGTGCTGGGATTACACGCTTGAGCCACCGCACCCGGCCTTTTTTTTTTTTTTTTGAGACAGAGTTTCATTCTTGTTGTCCAGGCTGGAGTGCAATGGCGCGATCTTGGCTCACCGCAACCTCCGCCTCCCGGGTTCAAGCAGTTCTTCTGCCTCAGCCTCCTGAGTAGCTGAGATTACAGACATGCACCACCATGTCTGGCTAATTTTTGTGTTTTAAGTAGAGATGGGGTTTCTCCATGTTGGTCAGGCTGGTCTCCAACTACCGACCTCAGTTGATCTGCCCGCCTCGGCCTCCCAAAGTGCTGGGATTACAGGCGTGAGCCACTGCGCCCGGCCTCCTGAACATTGTTTCTGGGCTCCCTGGTCCATGGGAACATCGGCTATGGGCTTTGCTGTCTGGTTATCTCGGACAATTCATCTGCATCCTCTGGGCTTCCATCTTCTTTATACAATGGACTTGGGAATGCATTGATGGTCTCAGGCACACTCTTGAGGATAACTCTCCCAGCATTCAATTACAGGCTGGTGCTAGGGCTAAGGATGGATAGAGAGATCTACTCTTGGAGGATAAATCTGAATTAGGTATACACCCCAGAGACATCCAGGAGGCTCACTGGCACCCACTGGTCCCAGTACAGAGTTGAGGCTGGACTCCTGAGCATGGAAGGGCTTGCTGACCGAGGAGTGTTTGAAGAGTGGGAGGATGCAGGGCGAAGGAACAAGAGTAACTGGGGGCTCACAGTGGGTCGAGAACCAGGGCAGAGAGACAGAGACAGGAGGCACGTGTGGGCAGCCAGTGGGTTTCCTGCCTTATCAGCAGCACTGGGAAAAGACATGGGGAAGCAAGATTCCTTGGGTGACTGCCGGGATGGAGACTGGAGGCTGGACTCTCCAACCCACAGCCAGCTGGCCTTGGATGGAGGCTTCTGTTTACTCATTGCCTACCTAATCCCCCTCGATCACGTTATGATTGTTTTTTGTTTTTTTTCCCCAGGAAAAATGGCAGGACAGTTCTTCAGCAACAGCTCTATTATGTCCAACCCTTTGTTGGGGCTGGTGATCGGGGTGCTGGTGACCGTCTTCGTGCAGAGCTCCAGCACCTCAACGTCCATCGTTGTCAGCATGGTGGCCTCTTCATGTGAGTCAGGGCACCCATGAGCCCACCTGCATTCCAGACACTCTTCTGTCTGTCTGGGGGAGGGAAGGGGTGGGCAGGAATTCACGCTGAATATGTCCAGGCCTTGTTACCGTTGTCTTGCTATCTTGTCCCGGCTACAGTGTGTTCCCCTCTTGATCCAAGGCAACTTCCTGTTTCCATTTCAATGGCAGGATCTGGAAATAGACCCTGCTGCTGGAGTTCTCAGCTCTGAATTCTCTAGGACTGTGCTTTCCAGACCTGTGGCCACTAGCCACATGTGGCAATATTAATTTTATTGAACCTTAATTGATTTAAAATTAAAATATAACATTCAGTTCCTCAGTTGTACTAGTTACGTTTCAAGTGTTCAAGAGCCACCTGTGGCTGGCAGCTACCCTACTGAGAAGTAGAGACACAGAACATTTCCATCACTGCAGAAAGTTAGTTCTCTGGGACTGGGCAACTCTCAGTGCTAAGCAGAAAGACAACTAATCTCATCACAAATTGCTCTGGGACAACTGAGCTTGGGGAGATGGCACACTAAACTTGTACCTGCCTGATAATTGCTGCGGCTAGGTTGGACAGACTCTCTGAGGGGGACCAGTTTGAACTGATTATTATTATTCTTTTCTCTATTTTCTTTTTAAATAGAGACTTGGGTCTCACTGTGTTGCCCAGGCTGGTCTCAAACTCCTGGGCTCAAGTTATCCTCCCACTTCGGCCTCCCAAAGTGCTGAGATTACAGGCCTGAGCCACTGCCCCTGGCCAGAACTATTTTTCTTCCCAAGCCAGCATCGTAGCCAAAATTAACTAGAATGTTTCCGGTCCAGTTAGAAAAAGGTATTACACTTTCAAAATATTTTACTTGTTTATGTCAAAAAAAGTGGAGCAATATGCTGATTTTGTTTGAAAAAGTTACACTGCCTGGAATGAAGTGTCTGATATCTAAAACAGAAATGATGCTTCCTGGTGGGGCCCAGTGGCTCACGCCTGTAATCCCAGCACTCTGGGAGGCTGAGACCAGCCTGACCAACATGGTGAAACCCTGTCTGTACTAAAAATACAAAAATTAGCTGGATGTGGTGGTGCGTGCTTCCAATCTCAGCTACTCGGGAAGCTGAGGCAAGAGAATCGCTTGAACCTGGGAGGTAGAGGTTGCAGTGAGCTGAGATCGCGCCATTGCACTCCAACCTGGGTGACAGAGCGAGATTCGTCTCAAAAAAAGAAAAAAAAGAAGGAAAAAAATGATGCTTCCTTAAAAGCGAGCCTTTGTGCCATGCACAACTGACTCACCTGTACGTGCAAGCCCTGGCACTCCACCTAAGTCCTTAATCAGTGGGTGCCTCCGGGTCTCCTTCAGGCTAGCCTTGGATCTGCAACAGGGAGGAGGGAGGAATCTAGAAAGGCACTTTCATCAGATTCATAGTGAGGTGCATAGTGAGGTGCAAAAAAAAAAAAAAAAAAAAGTTTAAGAATTCACTTGCATAGGGGATAAAAACTACTTCTTTAGAGGATATCAGCATGGATCACTTTAGCCTGTCTCCAAGCTGCTTTTCTAAGCTTGCTAATGGCACTTTTCCATACTCTAGTGCTCACTGTTCGGGCTGCCATCCCCATTATCATGGGGGCCAACATTGGAACGTCAATCACCAATACTATTGTTGCGCTCATGCAGGTGGGAGACCGAAGTGAATTCAGAAGGTAAGAGGCTCAAAACCAGCCTTTGCGATATCAGCTCTATTGTTCTCGGCCATGTTGTTGTAACTACTTTTAACCAGTCAAAGATGACATGCTTATCAGGTTCATTCCTGGAGTTCCTAGAAGTAATCACAGGGAGGTATGGCTAGGGTTGGATCACATACTCACCAGCTGATTAGACTCAGCTCCGTGATCGGCAGAGCAGGGATAATACTATCTCTCACCACTGCGTTGTCATAGGATTAAATATACAATCCAGCAGGTAGAGCACCCAGCACATTGAGTTCGCTAAATAAATGCAAACTCTAGCTAGAAACTTAGCCGCTGGGTGGCAGAATTGAAACAAGGCCAGTTAGAAGAGTAGAATTTATTAGGACTGAGGGTGGTGGCTCATGCCTGTAATGCCAGCACTCTGGGAGGCCGAGGTGGGCGGATCGCCTGAGGTCAGGAGCCTGACCAACATGGTGAAACCCCATCTCTACTAAAAATACAAAAATTATCCAGCCATGGTGGCAAGTGTCTGTAGTCCCAGCTACTCTGGAGGCTGAGGCAGGAGAATCTCTTGAACCCAGGAGGTGGAGGTTGCAGTGAGTCGAGATCACGCCACTGCGCTCCAGCCTGGGTGACACAGCGAGACTCCATCTCAAAAAAAAAAAAGAAAAAAAATTAATAAATAAATATTGTTTTGTTTGGTCATAATTATAACTTATTAAAACTTCCACTTTCGGTCAGCTCAACCCATTCCACCTTTTCTTTGTTCTTCACTTACAAGTTAATAAAAAACAAAATGTAGTTTCTGGCATGCATAAAATCTGAAAATAGAGCAAGTAGACAGTTGGAAACTCTTTTCTTTCAAAAAGGTTAATGTGAAAATTAAGTGTTTCTCAGCCTCTTCTAGCTAGGTTTTTTTTTTTTTTTTTCCTTCAGTTTTTTTTTTTTAAAGGGAAGTTGTTTCATTGAAGACAACATCCAAACAGAGTTTTTAAAATCTGGAGATAAGATGGAATCGAGCAGGAATCTTTGAACCTCCTCAGATGGATGCAAAATATTTTAGCCTTGTTTCCCGTGGAAACTATTCATGTTTCATCACTTTCAAGATCTTTAAAAAAAAAAAAAAAAAGTTTAAGAATTCAGTTGCGTGGAGGTCTTTTTAAGTTAAATTTTTAAAAATTGCTTTGGGGATTTATGACTTCTACGTGTTTGGAACAATTGAAAATTCCTCATAGAGGGCTTTGGTTGCCTTCATACTGGTCCCCACCTTTCCAAAAGAAGGTGGGCTTCAATATACATGATACAAAAGTGCCCTTGATGCAATTCTTCGAAGCAGTAATTGCTGAGCTAATTATTCCAGCCGTAACATGCTTGCTGGCCCGCAGCTTCCTCATCTGGCCAATGGGGATATAGCTACCAGCCACTTTGGGGATTGCTATGAGAGAACAGAAATGAGATTGCATACATGTGCACACTTCCGTAGGTGACACCTAGCAGAGGGTGGCAGATGACACAGGTAATGGCCCACCTCACATGGTGCCCACTTGCTTAGTGACTAATCTGGCTGTTGGGCTTTCCCTCCCATAGAGCTTTTGCAGGAGCCACTGTCCATGACTTCTTCAACTGGCTCTCCGTGTTGGTGCTGTTGCCTGTGGAGGTGGCCACCCATTACCTTGAGGTCGTAACCCAGCTTATAGTGGAGAGCTTCCACTTCAAGAATGGAGAAGATGCACCCGATCTTCTGAAAGTCATCACTAAGCCCTTCACAAAGCTCATTGTCCAGGTAACTTGGCTCCTTCAGAGAGAGAAAGAGACAAATTTCCTATCCACAACATCCCCAACCTAAGCGGACAGATATAGAGTGTCTACAACACTATTCTGGTCCTGGCACAGTGGCTCACCCTTGTTTTCCCAGCCCTTTGGGAGGCCAAGGTGGGTAGATTGCTTGAGGTCAGGAATCCAAGACCAGCCTGGCCAACATGGCATAACCCCATCTCTACTAAAATACAAAACATTAGCTGGGCATGGTGGCGTGCACCTGTAGTCCCAGCTAGGTGGGGGCCTGAGGCAGGAGGATTGCCTGAACCCCGGGAGGTTGAGGCTGCAGTGAGCTGAGAATTGTGCCATTGCACTCCAGCCTGGGTGACAAAGTGAGATTGTTTTTAAAAAATAAATGGATGAATAAACACTACTCTGTAGCTGCCTCTGGAAAAGGCCAAGTGAGGCAGAATTTTAGGACCACCTAATAGAGTGACCTTGACGGTTACTTTGACTTCCATGATATGCCACCTTTATTGGGGTGGAGGTGCTTCTTAAGACTGGACACTTGAGACCACTTTGTTCCCACTGCTGTCCTCAACACCGGTGGACTTAATAAAGTATGTTCTACCCTTTCCCGCCTAGAGTCATCTCAGCCCCTTCTCCCTGGGTCCTTGCTAGGACCTTGTGATTTCACTCTTACTGGTTTTCTTGGCCATTCAGTCATCCAGAAACTATCTACTGCCTATTCCCTAGATATCAGTGCCTCTGCAGATAGAGCGAGCCCCACTTTGCCTCTCTGGGGGCTCACAGTCACATTTATCTCCTTAGAGCCCCTCTCACTGCAACCCCCTGGGTTTGTGTCCTAAATCGGTTCTGAGGATGTACTGATGGTCTCCTGTCTACTGTTTCCACAGTTGGATAAAAAAGTTATCAGCCAAATTGCAATGAACGATGAAACCGCGAAAAACAAGAGTCTTGTCAAGATTTGGTGCAAAACTTTTACCAACATGGTACGTTTCCAAGATATTCCCGGGTGGGTGAACCTTTGCATCTCAGCATTAAGCCAAATCTTGCCTTCAAGGAATTTAAATAGAAAGTCAGAGGAAAGAAATATTGGGAGCCCCTGAAAAATCAAAAGTGACCAGTGAATGCCTTTAGAAAACAAGTCCCTGAATGAATGCTGAATGCAGGTAAACAGTAGGACAGACAGACTCCCTTTTGCCCCATCCCGGGGATACATTATTCCTGATTTGTTATTTCCATGCCTCTTGGACAAGACTTAGCTCTGCCTGCCATTCTGTTCTCATTTTTGGAGGGACTTGTGGAAGGAAATAGTCCAGCACGCCCTATGGGTGTTGGCAGCAAGTATCGTCTCTCTTACTTTCCAGAGTCTTCCAGAGTATTCCCCCTGCTTGGGCCCAGAGCATTCATGCCCTCTGTCAGGAACCTACCCAGCCTGCTTTGCACCTGGGTTGTGGCTTGCCCTTGCTTCTGGGGTGTACGTGTATTTTTTTTTTGTGGGGTGCTAAAGACTGGAGACTAAAATAAACAAACTAGATGTTTTTAAATGGTGAAGGCTGATTTCAGTTGTCCTCAGTTATTCTAAGAGATTTCTAATAAAGGTGACAAATAAGTCTTCGAGAGAAAGGAACTGTTCTGTTGGGACCACACTACATGCACCGTGTGTGGTGTCTGTGCCCGTTCATTCCCACCCCCGCCATTGCCTCCCATTCCCCACTAAAAGCCAACGTTGTGGGCATTTGTCATGTTTGTCATCCAGACCCAGATGAATGTCACTGTTCCCTCAATGGCTAACTGCACCTCCCCTTCCCTCTGTTGGACGGATGGCATCCAAATCTGGACCATGAAGAACGTGACCTACAAGGAGAACATCGCCAAATGTGAGTGGAGCTCAGTGGATTGGCCGCTATGACAGGTGTTGTCTGGGGGTGACGTATTTATCTGTGTGAAGTCCCAGTAAGTGAAGACAAGGACAGTAGGAGTCACTAAGCACCTGCCCTACATCAAGCAGGAGCCACACGCTTTCACAGCAGAGGAAACTATGGCTTAGGAACTGAGGTGACAGGCCCAAGGTCCCACAGCAAGGGCAAAACTGGAACTTGGAGTCCATTTCCTTTGCCAGCTCCACACCACCTCAGAAAAGCCCAACAGATTCTATAGGGTTTCCTGTACGTGCTTTGTTCAGACTCCTTTAGTCAATAACTCTAGGGGCCAGGCATGGTGTCTCATGACTATAATCCCAGCACTTTGGGGAAGACAAGGTGGGCCGATCACTTGAGGCCAGGGGTTCGAGACCAGCCTGGCCAACATGGTGAAACCCTGTTTCTACTACAAATAATACAAAAAAATTAGGCAGGCATGGTGGCACAAGTCTATAATTCCAGCTACTTTGGAGACTGAGGCATGAGAATTGTTTGAACCCCAGGAGGCAGTGGTTGCAGTGAGCCAAGATCGCACCACTGCCCTCCAGCCTGGGCAACAGGGAGGTAGCTTGTGTCAAAATAAAATAACTTTAGGGAGATGACAACCAGATTTGAAGGAAGATGTGGGACCCACATAGAACAGATGTATTCGCTCAATTAGTCCCCACTGTACAGCGGGCCCCATTTCAGGGCACTGGGGCTATAGCGCTTGAACAGACAGTGAGCTTGCATGATGCTCTGATTATTAACAAGCTGTAATGTTTTTTCCAACCCAGCCACCCTTCATTATTCTAATTACTCCTTACATATACTTTTGTATATCTCTGCTTCTCTCTTCCCACCCTCCCACCACATTAATTTTGAGCAGTATACTTTAATACTCTAGGTATGATTACCCCAAAGAATCAAGTTAACATACCACCTCCCACATTCTAGGCACTATATAATGGTTATATATTAATTCGTATAACCATGTTTTGCTGGAATTATCTAGGGGATGCAGAAGGGGCTTTATAATTAGCAATGCCCCTTACTTTGACTTGCCCATGGAACCCCTCAAAGCATACTTATCATTAGTAAAAAATTAGACCATCCACAGCATGGTCTTTAGAGACAGAACTGGGCTGGGTCTGCCCCTGAGTAGTTGTGTGATTTTTAAAGTCATCACTTGATCTTCCAGCCTCATGCGATCCCACTGACTATGACATAATCTCAGTGGTGCCCTTTGCTGCAAAGGAGGCTGAGAAGAGCTGTCTTGATTTGGGGCTGCCATATGTCAAACTAACAACCAGGAATCTGTTCATAGAAAAGATAGGATCTGGGGGAATAAATAACAATCTGTAGCCGTGGTGGCTCCATGCCCTCCTGACAAGGTTCTTCGTGGTCTTTTTAGGCCAGCATATCTTCGTGAATTTCCACCTCCCAGATCTTGCTGTGGGTATCATCTTGCTCATAATCTCCCTGCTGGTCCTCTGTGGTTGCCTGATCATGATTGTCAAGATCCTGGGCTCTGTGCTCAAGGGGCAGGTCGCCACTGTCATCAAGAAGACCATCAACACTGGTAGGTGCACTGCCCTCACTTGTGGGCCTTGAGGGATGGTGTCATCATGGCCACTGCATGGGGTGTGAGGGTGCTTTAGATTCCCATCTAGCAATGGCCTCTGCATGGAGTTTCTCTCTCAGATTGGATCAGCAGCAGAAGTGAGGATGTCATTCATGTGGAAAAGTTCTTGGTGTCCTGGGTGGGGTCTAGGGAGCAGGCCCAAGCTTCCATTGCATGTTGGCAAGGTCCTGAGAAGGAGTTCCTATCTGGAGAACTGTGAATCAGGCCTTCCTTCCTAGTGGATTTCCTGTATGCTCAGGACTTTACTGGCTCTGTCAAGACCCCTTAGAAAAAGGACCCCAGGTGTCCACCCACACCCCCACCTCCCTTCACTCTTGTGAAGGAAATGTGACGTGTAAATACATCAGCATCTAGAGGTGGCCAATGAGACTGCTGGCCAAGAGGATTTCCTGCCAAGTAGGGTGTCCTGGCCAATGAGAGCTCACTAAGCCAATGACATCATCACTCCATGACAACTCAGTTAAATGTAGCCAAGAAAATTCACCCCCCACCCCAGGTTGTCTTGGGGGAACAGAGCAACTCTGAGTGCTTGTGGGAAATGCAGGGCCTGATCTGGTGCTGGTTGGGTGGAGGACTCAGTTAGTAGGCATGTTCCAAGCTGCTGTGTTTTCCTGATGCTCCTTAAGGCAGACATGAAGGTTGAAGGTCGAATGTGGGTGCTAATGGGAGGCCAGGGCAGGGGAGGAAGCATGCTCTCAGCCCTTTCTGGAAGGAGAGTGGTTACTTGGGTGAGTTCACTCTTTCTAACCTGACCTCCAGGGAGTCTGTGTTTTTGTTTCCATAACACTTACCTGCATCCTTGGTTTTTCCATCTGAATATGTGGAGCAAAAGACAATGGGGAATGAAACTGGATTCTAAAACTCTACTCTGTAATCTGAGACCATATATAGGATGAGGAGGTGCCTGTACAACCTCACCTGTAAGCCCAGCCCCTGCCCTAGGCCATCAGCCCATTCCTTCTCCAGAGAGGCCATGACATATCTTCCTTCTGTCTTCCAGATTTCCCCTTTCCATTTGCGTGGTTGACTGGCTACCTGGCCATCCTCGTCGGGGCAGGCATGACCTTCATCGTGCAGAGCAGCTCTGTGTTCACGTCGGCCTTGACTCCCCTGATTGGTGAGTTATTCCTGAGCTTCTCGCTCTGGCCACCACTGCCATTTCCTGTCATCCCATGGGGCTGATGTGTTTGTGTTTGTATCCCCACCAAGGAATTGGAGTGATAACCATTGAGAGGGCTTATCCACTCACGCTGGGCTCCAACATCGGCACCACCACCACCGCCATCCTGGCCGCCTTAGCCAGCCCTGGCAATACATTGAGGAGTTCACTCCAGGTGAGGACTCGGGGCCCGGGGGCAGGGGCCCTGGGGGTGGGACCACACATGGTCTTGCAAACTGGTCTCTAACAAGAGCCAGGCTTTTCTCTGTGCTGTCCAAAAGATGGAACTGATATGTGGAGGGGAAGCCACAGGTAAAGTTTTCAGGACCTTGATATGAGAACAATCAAAACTATCAGTTCTGAGACAGGCAGTAAGACTCCCATAACTGGTGGTGGTTTCAGCAGAAGTGGGGTGGCCCCTTGATATAGATGTAGAAAGGGTACTTAAGAAGCACAGCCACCACCTCCCATCTCCTCACTGCCTCCTGTGGGGAACTTTACAATTAGGAGAACTCCTTGGCGTGGACCATCTAGGTTACTTTGTGCAAGACCTTTGGGATTTGAATTTATTTGTTTTATTTTATTTTATTTTATTTTATTTTTTTGAGACAGTCTCGCACTATTTCCCAGGCTGGAGTGCAGTGGCGTGATCTCCACTCACTGCAACCTCCGCCTCCCGGATTCAAGTGATTCTCCTGCCTCAGCCTCCCGAGTAGCTGCGATTACAGGCACCTGCGACCACGCCTGACTGATTTTTTTGTATTTTTAGTAGAGACGGGGCTTCACTACGTTGGCCAGGCTGGTCTTGAACTCCGGACCTCATGATGCACTTGCCTTGGCCTCCCAAAGTGCTGGGATAACAGGCGTGAGCCACTGCGCCCAGCCTGAGATTTGAATTCTTATCTCACCATTTACATCCCAAATGACCTTTGGCAAGTGATCTAACCTGAGCGTCAATTCCCTCATGTGAAAGATGGAGGATATAACCCCTATCTCATTAGGATTACTATAAAGATCTGATGAGGCAAAGCAATCTATGCAACAGAAATAGAAATTCAAGCATATAATATAAATTAACCACATATGTCATCCTAAAAGATTTTAGCAGATACATTTTTAAAAGTAGAAACAGGCAGATTCATTCTTCAATAATGTGCTTGATTTAAACCATTATCACTTTAACATGTAATCAGTCTGTCAAAAATTGAGATATTTGACATTGTTCTTTTCTGGGACTAAGTCTTTGAAATCTAGTGTGTATTTCATACTTAAAGCAAATCTCAGTGTGGACATGCGGCTAGTGTATTGGACAGTGCTGGTTCATAGCCTGGGCATGGTACTTTGCACTTTGGCAGCCTTGGAAAAGTGACTAAGCGCCTGGCCTCTGGAGCCAGGCTCCCAGGATGTGAATTTCCACCTCTTCCATCTCCCACCTGTGGGAGTTGAGGAGCCTCCATTATCTCATGTCAAGAAATAATGATTGACACTCTGTAGAGTGTTTTTTGAGGATTGAGCTAATGCACAGTTGAGTGCTCCTGGCCCTCCCAGACATGTAGTAGGTCCTCATGGAAACCAGGTACCCTCTGGGCTGAACCGCAAAGACAAGGAAGGCCTGGAAGGCCCGAGACTGTGCTACCTGTGATGCCTGCTAGCTTACCTCCCCCGTCCCCTCCTCCCTACTGCCACCCCCATTAGGCAACAGGCCCTCACCTGTCCAACCTCTTGTGTTGCAGATCGCCCTGTGCCACTTTTTCTTCAACATCTCCGGCATCTTACTGTGGTACCCGATCCCGTTCACTCGTCTGCCCATCCGCATGGCCAAGGGGCTGGGCAACATCTCTGCCAAGTATCGCTGGTTCGCCATCTTCTACCTGATCATCTTCTTCTTCCTGATCCCGCTGACGGTGTTTGGCCTCTCGTTGGCCGGCTGGCCGGTGCTGGTGGGCGTCGGGGTTCCCGTCGTCTTCATCATCATCCTGGTACTGTGCCTCCGACTCCTGCAGTCCCGCTGTCCACGCGTCCTGCCCAAGAAACTCCAGAACTGGAACTTCCTGCCACTGTGCATGCACTCGCTAAAGCCCTGGGACGCCGTCATCTCCAAGTTCACCGGCCCTTTCCAGATGCCCTGCTGCTGCTGCTGCCGCGTGTGCTGCCGCGTGTGCTGCTTGCTGTGTGGCTGCCCCAAGTGCTGCCGCTGCAGCAAGTGCTGCCAGGACTTGGAGGAGGGGCAGGAGGCGCAGGGTGTCCCTGTCAAGGCCCCTGAGACCTTTGATAACATAACCATTAGCAGAGAGGCTCAGGGTGAGGTCCGTGCCCCAGACTCAAAGACCGAATGCACAGCCTTGTAGGGGGAGGCCCGGATCGTCAGAGGTGGGGGGATGGGCCTTGAGTTTTGCATGCTCTCCTCTCTCCCACTTCTGCACCCTGCACCCTTTCACCACCTCGAGGAGATTTGTTCCCCATTAGCGAATGAAATTGGTGCAGTCCTACCTAACTCGATTCCCTTTGGCTTGGTGGTTAGGCCTGCAGGGCACTTTTGTTCCCGCCCCTGGTCACTCAGTAGTCTTTTACTCCAGGAAGGCACAGGATGGTACCTAAAGAGAATTAGAGAATGCACCTGGCTGGACGGGGGTCTAATCCTGCACCTGGCTGGGTTGGTCAGTAGAACCTGTTTTCAGACTCAAAAACCATCTTCAGAAAGAAAAGGCCCAGGGAAGGAATGTATGAGAGGCTCTCTAAGATAAGGAAGTGTATTCTCCGTGACTATGAAGCTCAGGCCTCTCCCTTTTTTTTAAACCAAAGTCTGGCAACCAAGAGCAGCAGCTCCATGACCTCCTTGCCCCAGATCAGCCCGGGTCAGGGGACATAGTGTCATTGTTTGGAAACTGCAGACTACAGGTGTGGGTCTATCCCACTTCCTACTACTCCCCACATTCCCCGTCAGGGTTTCCTCACGTGGGCAGGTGTGCTAGTCCAAGCAGTTCACTTGAGTGTCCTTGTCCTCATGCTTCAGGAATGGGAGCCACACCTGAACTACAGAGAGTTCAGGCTGGATACACGTGCTCACCTGCTGCTCTTGTCTTCCTAAGAGACAGAGAGAGTGGGGCAGATGGAGGAGAAGAAAGTGGGGAATGGGTAGCATAGCATTCAGGGGATATGGTTTATCTGCCAAAAGGGCCTCAGGTTCTTAATTTAGCAAACTAAGAAGCCAAATTAAAAAGCATTGTGGCTAAAGCCTAATGCTCCTCTCTTGGTCAGATAACAAAAACCTTCCCTGTTGGATCTTTTGAAATAAAACGTGCAAGTTCTCCAGGCTCGTAGCCTGCATGCTGCCACCTTGAAACCCAGGGAGTATCTGCGCCTGGAATAGCTCTCTCCCTCTCTCTGCTTCCTCACTTTCTGTGCAAGATGACTTGCGGGGTTTACTTCCTTCTTTCCATGCACCCACCCACTGGAATCTCTTTCCAAACATTTTTCCATTTTCCCGTAGATGGGCTTTGATTAGTTGTCCTCTTTCCATGCCTGTAAAACTCCAGATTTTTGGGGAAAGCTGTACCCAACTGGACTGCCCAGTGAACTGGGATCACTGAGTACAGTCTAGCACAGGTATGTCCCCGGGTCAAAGGGGTGTGCTCCTTCTCATCCTAGATGCCTTCTCTGTGCCTTCCACAGCCTCCTGCCTTATTACACGACTGCCCCCGCCCCACCCTCAGCCATTCCAATTCTTCCCGGCCAGTGAGCTCCAGCCTTATCTAGGAAAGGAGGAGTGGGTGTAGCTGTGTGGCAAGACTGGGGCCTCCCCCATCCCAGCTTCTCCACCACCCCAGCAGGTCAGGATATCAGACAGTCCTCCCCTGACCCCCCCCTTGTAGATACCAATTCCCAACCAGAGCCGAATACTCGATATTTATAGTCACACCCCTGTACAGCATTTTTCATAAGTTATATGGTAAACGGTCTGGATGATTTGTGCTCCTAGTGCTCTCATTTGGAAATGAGGCAGGGTTCTTCTATGAAATGTAAAGAAAGAAACCACTTTGTATATTTTGTAATACCACCTCTGTGGCCATGCCCGCCCCACCCACTCTGTATATACGTAAGTTAAACCCGGGCGGGGGCTGTGGCCATCTTTGTACTCCGGTGATTTTTAAAAATTGAATCTTTGTACTTGCATTGATTGTATAATAATTTTGAGACCGGGTCTCACTGTATTGCTCAGGCTGGTCTCAAACTCCTGAGCTCAAGCAATCCGCCCTCCTCAGCCTTCCAAAGTGCTGAGATGACAGGCGTGAGCCACCACACCAGGCCTGATTGTAATTTTTTTTTTTTTTACTGGTTGTGGGAAGGGATAAATAAAATAATCAAACCCAAAAGGAGTGTGTTGTTTTTAATTACAGGGAAATGGGGACCTCCTTGGATCTATTTTATAAAGAAGTGAGGTCTCTTCCCTTACCGAATGTCACTACCCACCACTTACTATGTGACCCTCCAGCTGCATAATTTGTGGAGCCTCTTGTTCAAAAACCTGGGGAAAAGTGCAGTTTTATATTGTGCAATGCCAGTTTCAAACACAAAGATAAGGCCTGTTAACTCGTCTGTGGAATCACTGACATGACGTAGCTCTTACGTGTAGCTCACACGTGTATTTTATTCCTAAAAGAACAGTGAGAGCATTGCACAAAACTAACTCAATTGTTTTCATTTCACTAATTTTTTTTTTTTTTTTTTTTTTTGAGACAGTGTCTCGCTCTGTCGCCCAGGCTAGAGTGCAGTGGTGTGATTTCTGCTCACTGCAACCTCTGCCTCCAGGATTCAAGTAATTCTCCTGCCTCAGCCTCCCAAGTAGCTGGGATTACAGTTGTGTGCCACCACACCCAGCTAATTTTTGTATTTTTAGTAGAGACGGGGTTTCACCATGTTGGCCAGGCTGGTCTGGAACTCCTGACCTCAGGTGATCCACCCGCCTCGGCCTCCCAAAGTGCTGGGATTACAGGCATGAGCCAACCTGCCCAGCCTGATTTCACTTTTTGTACACATTCTGCCCATGCTCTCTGCCTTCCTGATGAGTAAGGAAGAACTGAAAGGAAAAAGAGCAATGGGCCACCCTTTCCAAGTTAGCGTTTTTCAGCCTAAGTGAGAAAAATAGGATAGAGTTTCTTAGTTGTTCCTTGCTTGTTTCCTTGGAGTGCCACTACCTTTTTGCTGCATTCAAAGAAAGTTCTGGTTTGAATGGAAAGTATGGCCTTTCAGTGCTATGTGTTCTGCCAATCACCTGTGCTAGTCAAAATAACATGTTGGTTGGGTGCGGTGGCTCATGCCTGTAATCCCAGCACTTTGGGAGGGAGGCCGAGGCGGGTGGATCACTTGAGGTCAGGAGTTCAAGACTAGCCTGGCCAACATGGTAAAACCCTGTCTCTACTAAAAATACAAAGCTAGGTGGGGTGCAGTGGCTCCCACCTGTAATACCAGCACTTTGGGAGGCTGAGGAGGGTGAATCACAAGGTCAGGAGATCAAGACCATCCTGGCTAACACAGTGAAACCCCATCTCTACTAAAAATACAAAAAATTAGCTGGGCGTGATGGTGGGCACCTATAGTCCCAGCTACTTGGGAGGCTGAGGCAGGAGAATCGCTTGAACCTGGGAGGCGGAGCTTGCAGTGAGCCGAGATCACGCCACTGCACTCCAACCTGGGCGACAGAGTGAGACTCCATCTGAAATAAATAAATAAATAAATAAATAAATAAATAAATAAACAAACAAATAATACAAAACTAGCTGGGTGTGGTAGTGGGTGCCTGTAATCCCAGCTACTCAGGAGGGTGAAGCAGGAGAAACACTTGAACCTGGGAATAGGAGGTTGCAGTGAACCAAGATCGTGCCGCTGCACTTCAGCCTGGGCAAAAAGAGCTAAACTCTTAAATAAATAAATAAATAACTTGCTACGGAAGAGTTGACTTTAAGAAACATTTGCAGGACTAAGCAGGTCACACCTCTTTGTAGGTCAGCTGTACTGAGGGCTTAATCCGGATTGCAGAGCACAGTGAATTTGGACTTGGAATCACTCAGGTTGCTGGGTTTCACTCGTAGCCCTGTCATTTACTGTCTCAATAGCAACTTCCTCATCTGGAATATGGGACAGTAACACTTGGTTTCCTGTGATTATGCAAATGAAGCAATATATGTAAATATTTAGGCAGGGTGGGTTTACTGTAAGTGCTTGGCATATGGCTCTGCCTCAAAATATAGGGGATGAACATGCATGGCAGATGTACAAGACACACTTCCCACGCTTGTTTGCATTTTTCTCCCTCTGAGTATTTCCAAAGTGACATGCCAAGTCAAGAAGGCTGCTACCAACCCAAGAAACCGAGGCCAGCACTGGCCTGGGATTATTAGGATGAGCTGAATAAATGCCACATGGCCTGAGAGCAGTCCTCGGACTGGGCTCTGCAGCCACAGGACAGGAGCCAAGGACCACTCGGCATTTCCAAAACAAATCGTTGCTCTGTAAACTCACTTTCTAGTCCCAACTAATGGCAGTGGTGAGTGTTATTTTTAAAGGAGGTTTTGTTTTTGTTTTTGAGTCAGAGTCTTGCTCTATCACCCAGGCTGGAGTGCAGTGGCATGATCTCGGCTCACTGTAACCTCCACCTCCTGGGTTCAAGTGATTCTCCTGCCTGAGCCTCCCAAGTAGCTGGGACTGCAGGTGCCCACCACCATGGCTGGCTAATTTTTGTATTTTTAGTAGAGACGAGGTTTCACCATGTTGACCAGGCTGATCTCGAACTCCTGACCTCAAGTGATCCACCTGCTTCGGCCCCCCAAAGTGCTGGGATTATAGGCGCAAGCCACCACGCCTGGCCTTAAAAGGGTTTTTTACATTATTATTTGTCAAGATTGAAGATCACATATGTCTGGCTGGGCGCAATGGCTCATGCCTATAATCCCAGCACTTTGGGAGGTCAAGGCAGGCAGATCAGTTGAGGTCAGGAGTTTGAGACCAGCCTGGCCAACATGGTGAAACCTTATCTCTATTAAAAATACAAAAAATTAGCCAGGAGTGGTAATCCCAGCTCCTTGGGAGGCTGAGGCAGGAGAATCGCTTGAACTCGAGAGGTAGAGGTTGCAGCGAGCTGAGATCGTGTCACTGCACTCCAGCCTGGGCAACAAAGCAAGACTCCATCTCAGAAAAAAAATAAAATGTCTAGAGATGTACAATAAACAACATTGTCATTTCCTCTGCTCCCTGCTCTGTCCAATACTTGTCTCTGGCTCCCCAGGGGCAATCATCCTTTCCAGCTCTTTCAGTGCTTTCTTCTGTATTTTGTTCTGCAGTTATCACATGATTATAGTGGCTTTTTCTTAATGCAGCCATTGATCTGTTTTGGAGGAGATAGAATTTAGTTTCATGCCACTCACCCTCACTACCAATGACTCCTTCTCCCAACCAGTAGTTAATATTTACAATATTATTATTATATAAATGTGATAAACTGCAGAACTAAATAGTGCACCAACATTTTCTTTCTTTGTTTTCATCAGTGCTGTCATCTACCTATAAATAATCTTCCCCAGTTGCTTTCAATCACCTGACAACCTTTTGGCTTCTTCCCTCCCCTCTCTCTTCCCCTTCCCTCACGTCCTCTCCCCTTCCTCCCTCCTTCTGTCTCTCTTTCTTTTGCTCACCTTCTGCACTTTCTCCCTCCCTCTCTCCCTCCTTTTTTCTTTCTCTCTCTTTCTTTCATACCCAAGAAAGGATACAGAGAAAATAAAATTTTTGAGTCTATGCGTTGAGTCCATGTGTGTGTGAAAATGTATTTTTGCCCCAAGATTGATCAATAGTTTGAAAACCACTGCCTCGGCATAAGGAAAGTATTGCTCCATTGTCTTCTAGAATCTTGTGGATAAGTGACCTGGAGCAGAGACAGGCCCAGCATCCAGTCAGCACTGTCACCAGACATGCAGATGAAGCCACCATAGAGCATCCAGCCAGCATCCTGCCTGACTGGTGGGGTCAGCGGAACAGCTCAGAAAAGCCCATCCCTGATTGCTGACCATGGAGTAACCAAATAAAATGGTGATTGTTTTTACAACGTTACAAATTTGAGGTTGTTTGTTACACAGCACAAGATAACAGATACAGAATTCAACACTGAAGTGTAGACCGTGGCTTCAGTCTGCTGTATTTCCTGCAGCTCATCACCCACCCTTTGTCCTTCTTACTGTGGCTCCTTTGGTTAATTCCTTCAGAGAATAAACCTCCTGTCTCTTGCCTGGCGTGGTGACACAGGTTCACCAGGGCGCATTAGTTAATCATTAGCTTCAGGCCAGGCACAATGACTCAACCTCGCAATCCCAGTGCTTTGGGAGGCTGAGGTGGGAAAATCACTTGAGCCCAGGAGTTCAACACCAGCCTGGGCAACAAAGTGAGACCCTGTCACTACAAAAAATTGTTTAGGCCTGGCGCGGTGGCTCACGCCTGTAATCCCAGCACTTTGGGAGACTGAGGTGGGTGGATCACTTGAGGTCAGGAACTCGAGACCAGCCTGTCCAACATGGTGAAATTCTGTCTCTACTAAAATAAAAAAAATTAGCTGGGTATGGTGGCGGGCACCTGTAGTCCCTCAGTAGCTACTCAGGAGGCTACTGAGGAGACTGAGGCATGAGAATTGTTTGAACCTGGGAGGCAGAAGTTGTAGTGAGCCAAGAATCGTGCCACTGGGTGACAGAATGAAACTGTGTCTCACAATAACAACAATAATAATAATTTTTAAAAATTAGCCAGGTATGATGGTGTGAGCCTGTAGTCCCAGCTACTTAGAAGGCTGAGGCAAGAGGATCACGAAAGCCCAGGAGTTGGAGGCTGCAGTGGGCTATGATTCGCCACTGCACAGCAGCCTGGGCAACAGAGCAAGACTCTGTCTCTAAAAAAAATTTTTGGTTTTTTTTTTTTTTGAGATGGAATTTTGCTCTTGTCTCCCAGGCTGGAATACAATGGCGTGATCTTGGCTCACTACAACCTCTTCCTCCCAGGTTCAAGTGATTCTCTTGCCTCAGTCTCCTGGGTAGCTGGGGTTACAGGCACACAGCACCACATTAAGCTAATTTTTGTATTTTTAGTAGAGACGGGGTTTCACCATGTTGGCCAGGCTGGTCTTGAACTTCTGACCTCAAGTGATCCACCCACCTTAGCCTCTCAAAGCGCTGGGATTACAGGTGTGAGCCACCATGCCCGGCCTAAAAAATATTCTTTTTAGTTAAAAATAAATCACTAGCTTCAGCTTCAAGTCATTGGTGTGCTGTATTAGCAGAGTGAATCATCCTTTGCAGGCCCTGGTTAACATATGGCCTGTGAGGACAGCATAAATTAC